ACTTGCGGGAACCTTGCCTCACTTAGGGATTATACTTGCGGGAACGTTGCCTGACTTAGGGATTACACTTGCGGACAACTTGCTTGATCAATCTTGCCTGTCCATTTACTTGCCTTGCGTAGGGATTAATCTTGCGTGTGCCTTGCCTGGCCTAGGTGTAACTCATCTAGATTGATCTTCGCAAATGCCTTACAATTATTTTAAGCCCCAGCAAAAATTAATCAAATTAATCAAAACAGTGGTGCCACACACACAATTAATTTACTCCGGTTGAGGCGCGCTGCGGGGTAACCTTTTGGCGCCAGCTTAAATACAACCCAACATTTTCAGATTGATCGGTGAGAGAAGATGGGGAAGCAGAAATTAAGCGCGCCGAAGGCTCCCGAGTAAAATCGAGGGAAGGATTGGGGGGGGGGATCTTTTTAACAACAAATCAAATCTTAATACAAATAGAAAATCATTTCCGAACTCCTCATTTATAAAAGACCATCGCGTGATATTTGGGAAACCCGTCTGCTACTTTATTGACACTTAAAATACTTTCTATCAACTTATTCCCCCACATCATAAGTGTGGGCCCTGTAGCAAAAATTATCTTAAGCCACGGTATACACGTGGTTTGCAGGTCCCACAAGACGTCTCTGGATTCGTGTGGAAATCACGCTTGCTATATACACTCGTATTTCATGTGACAATCACTCAAAATCCACTCCTATATAACGTGACAATCATTCTAGCGCGAATCATATTATGTGACAATCACTTTGGCTCCACTCTTACACAATGTGACAATCTCTGCCTCCACTCTTACACAATGTGACAATCACTCTGGCTCCACTGTTACACAGTGTGACAATCACTCTAGCTCCACTCCTACACAATGTGAAAATTACTCTCGCTCCACTCTTGCACAATGTGACAATCACTCTGGCTCCACTCTTACACAATGTGACAATCACTCTAGCTCCACTCTTACACAGTGTAACAATCACTCTGGCTCCATTCTTACACAATCTGACAATCACTCTAGCCCCACTCTTACACAGTGTAACAATCACTCTGGCTCCATTCTTACACAGTGTGACAATCACTCTAGCTCCACTCTTACACAGTGTTGCCATCGCTCTTGTCCTCCAGTTTCTTACATTGATTATTTCATACTTAGTCCAGTGTTTTGTTCAAGAGATTTTTGACATCACGGGTCACAAATCACCCGGTATCAATGGCGTTGAATGTCAACAAGTGCACATAAGCTCCGCCAGATCATTGGCGCGTAGTTAACATTTCTTCGAGTGTCGGATCGTGGTGAGTTCCTCTCTGTACGGCTTTGTAGTCTCCCATGTCCCCGGAAAGGTTTCTGGACGCAGAACTCTGTGGTTAACATTGTCCCCCCTTGCACGGGAATCTTTCAGTGACAAGAGCGTTGCTAAATCTTCAATCATGACAGGATATTAATGTTGGTCAGAAATAACTTGCCTTATTGTTTGTCTGCAATCAGTGGGTGGCGTGATGCGTAACCCAGCGTTTTCCCGAATGCCGGCTCGTGACCCGTTGCCGGAGCCCTGACAGCAAAATTACCCGGTAACCGAAAGTAGAAAAGTACAGTTACCGGGTCACCAAAAGTAAAGTTTGGGAAACCCTGAACAAGGTCACTTAGGAGTATGGAAAATAATACCACGTGAGGGAGGGCGCCTGGAGTATTTACCCGGTAACCGAAAGTAGAAAAGTACAGTTACCGGGTCACCAAAAGTAAAGTTTGGGAAACCCTGAACAAGGTCACTTAGGAGTATGGAAAATAATACCACGTGAGGGAGGGCGCCTGGAGTATTACGATAACGGTGTATAATAAAGTAAACGAAGTGGCTATTCGTACCCGGGTACCAGAAGTGAGAGGTTGGGATTTTTAAAAAAAAAAATATTTAAAATTTTATTGTTGGGTTTTTAAATCAAAATGAGATCTCAAATGAAAGATAATTGAATGAACTGTATGTTTGTAAACTTAATTTTTCAAAAAAAAAACAACTACCACAAATGACATCCGAATAGCACGGAGTCAAATTGGACCCAGAAAAGCAGCGCCACCATTCGCACCCGGGTACCATTAGACTCAAGCTAATCGGATGTCATTTGTGGAAGTTTATTTTAGTTAAACTTAAGAAGTAAGTTTACAAACATAAGGTCCATTCAATTATCTTTTAATTGCTTACAGACGTGAAAACGGTTGATTCTTTTTTTTCGATAAAAGAATTATTCGTTATACGAGTAGAAAATTAAAAATCATTTTTTAAAAACCATTTAAGAAATATTTAAAGACGTTTTTTTCCTCTTAAAAATATTTTATGACATCAGAGCGATGTGATCATGCTGGAATAGTATGGAGACAACGCTATTCAATTAATCAATCATCATCATCTTACCATCTTATTTGAAGCAAGAATGTTCGGTAATGAAGAGTATCTGGAAAATAAATCTAGGATCCAGCTTGTTTGGTTACCTGAAAATATATATATTTTTTTTTTCAGTTATAAGGTCATCAAACGTTAGCAATAAAATAATAGTTTTCGGTTTTAATTCCAAATTATCGATGAAAGCCAATCAAATATTTAAGGCGCTGAAATGACGGCATTCAAAAGTTAATTTTTAAAAGCTTCCGACATGTAATTCACATTTTTAACTACAAGAAATCTATCATGGAAGTGGGGTGGGGGTGAACCATGAGTTTACCGCACCGGGTGACACCAACCCTAGCTACGCCACTGATTCATTCATATGACATTCTTCAATCTAGGGGAAACAAATTGGGGGGGGGGGGGTTCTAATTTGTATGTCGTTAGTTATGGCTTTTAACCATTGCCCCATTATGGGGGNTTCAAGGCCCTAAATTACAATTTATTCCCCTCTAAACATGACTTTAAATTAACAAATCTAAATGATCACTAATTAAATCATTATTGTCACTAAAAGAGTTCATTGAAGGCTGATTTCTACTCTAGAGAAATACTTTAGATGTCCTTTTTTTAATGTTGGATTGCGCACTTTTTGTGCCACTAAAATAATATTTTTTTTCTCTAAAAATTGTGAAAACTTAATCTTAGAATTACAACAAAAACTATAATATACCATTTAAATACATCTTATATAAACGGAGATTGATATATTGGTATCTTTATTGAAAAAGTAATCTAACTTTCGCCCTTTTTCTACTATCTTGTCGGAGACTCGCATAACGCATAATTCTTTTATCGAAAAAAAAGAATCAACCGTTTTTCACGTCTGCAAAAGCGTTGGGTGTCTTTTTACATAAATGATCTTAATCTCATAACACTAAGACACCCACTTGACTTTTCGCAAAGTAAAAACACAAAAACAAAAAATATATATTATCATTTTTTTTAAGAAAAGAAAAGCTTAACCCATCTCCATTTTTCAAAATTAAATTTCCCCGTGTGTAAGATAATAGGGTTTTCATATTCATGGATATGCTTATGTAGATGTACCCAGGTTTTGTCAACGTCATTGATTTTCTTCATTGGTTAGCTTTTTTTTATTTGTAGAAAAGGGAATGTAACATCTATTTTTTCTCATAACTGTGATATCATAGAATTTAAAGATAATGCCAGCCACGTAAAAATGTACACACTTTATTTCCTACCCCCGATATGTAGGTACCTAAGAAGGTAAATTATTTATCAAATTCTTTCCTAAAAATGAAAGTATCGAATAACACCCCCCACTCCCAAACCACCAAACCAAGATTTTAAAAAAAATTAATAAAATCATCCACCTACGTCTACACACATACATTTTTGGCACTTCATATGATTTGTTCTTATTTGGATGAGTGATAAGTGTATTAGTGAACGCTATTTGGCTATAGAGTTTCGCTTCTCCGACCGACTTAACCGGCATTTTCTTGTTCAAAGTATATTTAAAGGT